AAGTAGCTACGACATACCGTTGATTTTTGGCAAGTTTTTTGGTGAAGGTGTCGCTCATTTTCTCCATATAAAAAATCGTCTAACATACTTCGTATGGAAATACGTAAGTCCTAGCTATTTCAAACTTGCACTTTAAGGTACTACAATTAAATGGGTTACAAAACTTCATACTCAAAATCCTTTTTAATTATTTTATATAAAGATTTTCGACTTGGTTTGTAAGATAATAATAATAATAATAATAATAATAATAATAGATTGGCGCTTACACAAATGTTAGTGTTTGGCCGAGCTTCTCCTCCGATTTGTGGCGTGCGCCTTGATGTTGTCACACAAAGAGGAGGGACCTACAGTTTTTCGCCGACTCCGAACGGCGATTGTATTTTTATGAGAAGCTGTTTTTCATGGCAGAAACACACTCGGAGGTTTGCCATTGCCTGCCGAGGGGCGACCGCTGTTAAGAAAAAACCTTTTTTCTAAATTTTTTGCGATGTTGCTTTGACCAGGGCTTGAACCCAGGCGCTGCGGAGTGGAAGCGCGCACTGCTTACCACTACACCCCAGCGTAATTAAAAAAAAACAACATTTTTGGCTTTAAGCTGAATAACGGTTAATTGAAAATATCTTGAAAACCTATCCATAGAAAAAAAGAATTAACTCGATTTTCGGAATCACCGAGCAATTCTACATAGGAACTCATAGGCATACATAGGCATTCATAGAACATTTTTGCTGTAAACCAGTGTAACTGGATCATGAAGAAATTAACAATAATCTTAAATTTTTATTAGAGAATTGATGTCGGTTTTGACTTTTGCTTAAAAATTACTTGTTTTTATTTTATTTTAATTATTATTTTTTTATAAAAATATAGATGATTTTTTAATTAGTTAATGTTTTTAATTAAATACATTACTTGCTTTTCGTTATTTTGTATGCTTAATTTGAGAGTATCTTTAAATTTAAAACATAATGGGTCATAGTCGAATCAAAGACGAAACTGAAAATTATTTCGACTTTTTTGACAAATTTTTCTGTTTTCGGAGAGCTGAAATTATTTTTACTTTCAACTTTGCTTTAACAATTCATTTATCCCATTATGTTTTACATTGAAAGGTAAATTTTTGTATCTAGTATTTCCTATCATTTACTATATAACTGATCTCTATATAAATGACTTCACCTATTTCATGCTCTATCCTAGTGATTACAACAAGCACACACTTTCTTACTGTTACTACATTTTATCGCTTTTAACTTAGTTCTAAGTATTGCAAGTTCATTGATATAGCTATCCTCAAATCGAAGGACTCGTTCTTCCTGATTATATTGTAACCTAAACTTACCTATTTTTAATAAAATTAGCTGTGGAAATACTCTTTAAAAAAAATGGCCACTAATGGATTAAAATATGATCATCAATGCGTTAAGTCAAATTCGTAATAATTTTCACAATAATAAAATCAAATTAACTTAACATAAGATATTACAAAAAACTGGGTCACCAATGGGTTAATGCATGATCAATAATGGGTTTAGACGTCAAAAATTTACTCTTAAAAAGTAGTTCAAGCGATTCTAATGGAAAGAAAATGATTTCAGAATTTTGAGCACCCGCTTATATGGGGCGGCCCCAGTGTGCGACGTTGTATTTTGTATGAAAAAAAACGACTTCGTTTCGACGTCGTTTCGAGTTCACCCAAACGACTTCGCCAGAACAACGTCGTAACGACGTCGATTCGAACTCGTCTTCGCCCTGTGGCAAATTGGGAAAGGAAAAGCTGAAGATGAATGTATGCATCAGGGTAGCCAACTCATTTTTGAGAATTACCCGATTACGACAATGAAATTCCCCGATTTTCCCGGAATTTTCGTAAAATTACCCACCTATGGATATTTCCTTATTTACAAAAAAAAAAAAAAATTAGTGGGCATTTTGACATAAATATTGCTGGTCTTTCTGTTTTTTTTTTTTAATGTAATTCAGCTATGTGTGTATTCATAGACCAAACCAAATAAAGAAAAAAAAATACATATAATGTTTACACAAATACAGTGGTCGAAAAAGTTTCCGTCGAGCCAAATTTGACAAGTGTTTACAATTATATATATATTTTTTTATTACTTTGATTTATTTTTTTATAAAAATTTAGTTAATTCTTTTACAAAAACCGTATAAAACCAAGTTACAAATTTGTGTGATATTAAAAAAAAATCTACAAACTTTCGTAAAAATTTCGAGCTTTTTAATTAGATTTTCCTTAAAGATTTTGAATATGCAGTTTTGTAGCCCACTCATTTCTAGTAAGTGCAAGTTTCAAGTGGCAACAAATTTTTGTTTTAAATTCTTTTTTCCGAAAGGTTGCGGGTTTTTTCCACATAAAAAAAGTGTGATTATTCGTTATATGAATAGGGTTGCCAGATTTTTTATGCGCGAAATCGGTACGTTAGACTTTTTCATGCTAAAAAAATCAGTACATTTTTATTCAAAACAAAATTATGAATGTAAGTAACATAATAAGAATGGAGAACGAAAAATGACACTGAAGATGGCACAACGCCGAAACCGGTTTGTCTCCAAACCAAATGACAAGGGGTGACCGAAAATCGTTCCACATTACATCACACTCCTACCCTGTCAGAAACACCAACAACGAAAATGAGAACAGATAATACTTTAAAACTTGGTTTTAACAATTAGGTTGTTCACACTTGCTTGGTTATAAGGTTATCTGGTTAAAAATTATTATTTTGTAGTGTATGTATTTTGTTGTTGTACACTGAATAAAAAATATAACCAGATAACCAGGCAAGTGTGCATAACCTCAGTATTTGGTATATAAATTAAATATAATTCATAAAAAATAAAAGTGTTATTCATTTTAACATGCGTGTTACACAGGAGCAAATAAATTATTTTATATTTATGACATTTTTGAATAGCAATAATGCGATAATTTCCATTTTCAGGGTTCTATACATTTCATTTTAAAATTACTTTTAATTTGAAGTCAACTTTCAAAAATTATAATTAGAAGCCGGTTTCTCTCTTTGCGCCAGGAAACAAACTTTATACTTAAGATCCTCTCAGTTGCTTCGTTTGAGTGTGGTATTGAAAAAAAACAAAATTACTTATTTTTTAAAACTGTTGAAAAGTACCACTATTTAAGGACTTCATCTATATTTCCTCATGGCTTATATTAATTTTTTCAAGTATGCAAACGCTTTAAAAGACTAAGAATTCGCTAAAGAGAGTATCTAATTATATGTCTTGTATAAAAACCTCAAGAAAATCTTAAAGTATGTATTTTGTTTTAATTGATAATTCAGTACAAACCAGTACAAATTTTGAAAAATCAGGACATTAGCTTACTGATTTAATGAATGAATAAAATCAGATCAGAGATGAAAAATCAGTACTGTTCTGATAAAATCAGTACGTCTGGCAACCGTATATATGAACGAAAATGCGACAAAGAAAATTCGAAATCAACGGTAATTTGTATAATTTGCAGGATTGCATTTTCAGTAATTTTAGTTGCAGTAGCATTTCTTATGCAACTTTTTAGCTCATTATAAAGTCAGTGAAGCAAAAAAGAATAAATTAGTTAACACCTAATTCCTCATAAAAAGCAGTTCATGTCACAAAAAACGGTCCATTCCCCGATTTCCCACGTAAACTCAAATTCCCCACAAAATGGGTAATTCCCCACGAGTTGGCTTTCTTGAAATCGACCCAGTACATCGGCTGTTTTGCTCTCACGTTTTTTTTGGGCTTTAATTTTATATATATTAGGTCCATTCCTTATCTTTTCGGACTAAAATCTGAAAAGTGTCAAAACGCAAGAGCATAAGCAAAATGCGTTCACTAAAAGAGAATAACGGGAAAACGCAAAGGAACGCAAACAACCAAATTTTTAGTCCAAAGAATGGCAACAACAAAACTAACGTCAAATAAGAATAGAAATGTATGTACAAAATACATTCACACAAGCACAAGCACAATAAAACACTAACTATATCAGTTATTTTTTGCCTCCTTTCACTTTCAATTCACTTTTTTTACTTTTTAGATTATTCTCATTTTTTGTGTATTCATTAATTTCCGTTAATATAAATTCAGTTGAGTTTGACAGTTTTCAAGATTTTGCCAGCAAAATCTGACTACTCCGGACTGAAGAGAGTCACTCTCACTGAGTGTCATCATTTTTGCTGCCATTTTCGAGTTAAGGAACGCATTTTGGACTAAATCTGACTACTTCGGACTTTTTATGACTATTTATGGGAGACAACTATTATAGAAGAAAAAAAGCTAATGCTTACTGTCAAATTTTTCACTAACCCTGCCGGATAAACAATTTTTTGCATCTCATAGCTGTGAAAAACTTATTATCCAGAGTACTTTTCTATTAATTGGCACATACCTTATATATACCTTATATATCTCTACTGCAATGTTTTCGGACGGTTGTAGCTGTTACTGCCAATATAGGAGTATTACATATATCGCTAGCTTAGAGTGAAAAGTTGCTAAGTCCCGATCTACAAACTGTACAGGAGACGAAAAAACTTGCTTATGACCATTTTCTGCATGTATTTCGCAAAATTTCGAATACAACATTTTGCCTGTTTAAAACAAAGCAAAACTCCATACGAATCAGGGGGATTTGATCTTTCGGAGCTTCGGAATACAAACGAGAAAACATTAAACCGGGACCTTTACCCTTTTCAAAACGATGCATTTTTGATTTCTCTAGCCTCCTGTATCAAAATATAAGTTTTCATAAAAACTGGACTTTTCACTCTAAGCCAGCGATATGCTTTTCCAATAAACAAATTTTACGAGAATAACATGTTTAAGCATTGAATATGTGTTTTATTTTGTTTGCAGCCTGACACGCTTATTATTTTGTCCTTATTAAGATGGTTCAAATGACTTAAATAATAATTTATAAGTAACGCATTTCAGCCGAGTTAAAAATAGTTAACTTATTTACTTACCATTTTCAATTGTTTCCTTTGCACAGGATATAATTTTTCCTTTGCGCCTCCGCAAATTAGACTCAAAATTGTTGTCATCATTATAATCATTCCCAGCATCCAAGGCAGGATCTTCAGCAGTCGATTCATGTACATCCTCTGACGATTGCCGTTCGGAGGACATGTCGCCTCCACCGCCGCTGCCAGTGCTTTGCATTAAATTTTCAAAACTTTTGTTCATAACCTCCTTTACTTATCGCGTTTTTACGAACAATTCGATTAATTTATTTAGCTTCAACTTGGGGTTAATTACTTTTACGTTTTGATTTCAGCATATAATTACACTGCCGTACTGATTTAAAATGTGGGTATCTGCATTCGAAGTTAAACCGAGAAACTAAACAAAACGCGTTTGTACTTGGTCTGTCCAATTTATGTATGCTTTTTGTGCAAATGAAAATAACTGTTCTAGACTAATTCGGATGTTCCTTTTTATTTATGCAAAAAAATTCAAATTTGCCGTAAAGCAAAATTTGCGAAAAAAAATCGTTAAAAAGCCGTATCTGCGCAGATACGGCATTTTAGCAGTACGGAAGCAATGAGAGCGCGGAGTTTACTGTTAAATAACGTGGGTATGTACATATCTACAAATTTGTACTTTTGTCCATCGCATTCTTTCAAAATGTCGGTTTCACTTAATTTGTTGCTTTCGATAAACGTTTTGGTTTTTTGGCAATATTATATTAAACTGCCTTTTATCAAAGCCGGTTTATTGAAGATTCCAAGAGGAAACACATTTATTCACGTTAATCAATATTAATCAAGTTTCAGCAAACCATCCGAACAGCAACTAGCCAGCTGGTTTTACCAACTTGTTTTCCAGCTGGCTAAGCTTAGAAACCACGATACAAAAAAGGGCGTGTGTGAATCGGTAGCAAAGTTCTATGGGGAAAGCTGTGGAATAATATTTTTACTATGGTGAGACAGTTTTGCCAATCTGAAATGAAATCTTTTTTGTGAAATGAAATCTTTTTTGACAGCAGTAAATTTTTGATAACCGCAGATTTATGCGCAATAAACTATTACAAATTGAGTGAAACTAATATTTTAAGAAAACATCTACCATCATTGATTGCAGTTCATCAACTTAAGCTTTTATTTTACGAAAAAGTACACACAGCAGCAATCTTTGCAATTGTCAAAATTTTCTACGCATTTGTCAAAAATTTCACTGGCCTCATGGGCTACTGAAATTTTATTCACCTCATACTTGTCAAAAATTTACTTGCCGCGAACTTTGTTACCGATTCACACACGCTCTCAATAAACAACTTTTGACGGATAATAATATTTTTTGAAGTTTCATAAATTGTGAATACTCTCAACGGCCTTGCCACTTTGATAATATTAAAACAATAAATCGGAGTATTTTCTTTCCCACATTTATACAAAGTTAATAATATTTCAAATCAAAAATCATTATCAGTGCTTGGTAATTTTTTTACTTACGTTTTTTGCACCGTTTTTATTAAAAATATATAAAATGTATAATGTTCAAGGAGACTTCTTCGAAATTGTTCTTTTTATTTTATAATAAAAATCACGAGAGCATTATGTTGTTATTTTTTCATTTTCTTATTTTGAATGCAATCTTGCGATTTAAAAATCGAATTCTAAAAAATGTTCTTTCCAAATAAAATCTTTGTATAATCGCCAATTCCATGTGAATAAATTGTTCTCGCATCTTAACATGCAAAACAAAAACAAATTGGGAAAAATTATTTTTGTTTTGCTTTATAGATTTTGGGAATATTTGTTGACATGAAATTCGTGATAGGGCTGAATATTTTGGTGTAAATTTACTTTTAAATTTCTCATCAGATTTTGCAAAAAATAAGGCTTTGTGGTTAGCGTATCACCATTAGCTTCAACAAATTTCGAATTTTAAATTTCTAATGTATGCAAAAGACTTGAATTTGGCTTGTGCAGACCGCTCTCTGATAACCAATTAGCATAAGTATAGTTTTGATCACCTCCTTCATCCGTTCTGAAACCTAGCTTCGTCAACCCCATTTTTGAGATTATGCATTAATTTTCAGGTTCATCATATTCGACATCTTTGAGTGGACTGATGAAATATACTGCTTAAAAAAAAATATTACTGCTCGTGATCAGATAGCATGAATTTAATGAAATGTCATAATTTTATTAAAAGTCAAATAATTAACAACAACAACGAATGCCATTAAATGGAACTATCTTTTTTTGTATCATGGTAGAAACCATGATGAATTTTAGTTTTGCCTTTTTGACTATGTTATATGTAGAGTCCGACCGATTAATCGGCATCGGCATCGGCCGATTCTTTTTACTTTCTCCGCAATTTTAACAAATTTTCATAAAAATTTGACACTGTTTAATCAGATTTTTTAGAATTTTTTTGAGTACGTAGTCTTAAATTTTGGTATAATAAATTGCAAGTTTGAAGTAGCTAGGTAAGTGTTGATTTTTGAAAATTTTTTGTTCTCGCATTTTTAAAGAAAAGTTTGAAATTTTTACTAACATAGTTTTTGTTAGATAATGAGCTACACTTTCACAAAATAGTAAGAAACATTAAATAAACAAAAGGGAAATAGCCAAAGAATGCTAAAATGTCGTTACTGCAAGTATTGGTACCTTTATCCTTGAATTAATCGCAGAATTCCTAAATCCTTCGGGTTCTTTTCGCTGGATTGTTAAATTGTTTACGTTACAAAAATACTGTTATCATTCAAAATCTACGGCTACTGTTTATTAACAAATTGTATTCAATACACCACCTTTATAGCCAGCAGAAGCTGCATATTTTTACTACTATGAGTACAACTAAGAAATGTGATTTCGAATGAACTAATGGACTATGGAACAAAGTATTGCAATGATATGTATGCATAGGCGATATACTACTTTTAATACATATTTATGTATGTACTTAACAAGTGAATGGATTCTTGAATTATTATGTGTTTTGTAATGTTATTTTTTATGTTTTTCTTTTGTCATTATAAAAGTTTATCAGAAACATTTGTTCTTGAATGAATTTATATTCATGTAGTTTTTTTAAGGAATCGGAATCGGCATCGGCTGATTCTTTGCCTTAAGGCCGATTAATCGGCATCGACCAAAAATTGGAAATCGGTCGGACTCTAGTTATATGTACTATATACAAGTACAAGTTTTCGATATTTTTGGTGCGATACACACTGACCGAACAAATAAATAGTTTAAAATAAAGCAATGTGACTAATTAACGCCGATAAAATTAAAAAAGACATTTAATATTAACGATTTATTCAAAGTTGACTAACAGCCCTATTCTGACAAAGTCACAAAACTCCGCGCATCACTACTGTGATTTCTACTGCGCCTAAAAGTATGCCGCTACAACGTTTATGCCGCCAAAAAAATATTTTGAACTTTTCGTGCATTTCTTTACCACTAACAGGTCTGTTCTGCACGTTACCGAAGATTTTGTAACCGGAAAATTTTATTACCAAAAAATGTTACCAGTTCTTGTCACCACGATTCTAGGTACGTCGGTAATGCAATGAAAATATTCAGCAATTCAGCTATGAAGAATTGTGCAGATTCTGGCATTGCATATTTCACGGGGAAATACTTTGTTACCAGCTTATGAGATGGTAACAAAAGTAACCGGTTACAAGCGTACACAGAATGCGAAAAGAGTTTAAAAATTGACAGGAACTTTATTTACCGGTTACAAACTTTTTATTACCAGCGCAGAATAGACCTGTTAAAATCTAATTTTCGTGCCATATTTTGTGGCGGAGTAGAAATCGCAATAGTGATGTACTGAGTTTTGTGACTTTTTTAGAATAGGGGGATAGGTCCTACCGTAAAAGTAAATCTAAATTGCTTAAGTCCATTCCAGACAATCATATTTTGCTCTGCTACTGCAAATTGTGACATGTGAGTCGATATACCTGCCTAAAACTTTTTTATTTAGAATATTGCTTAACATTCTATGATTCTGTTTCGCGAAATGCTTCCAAGATCTATTTTGGAAACATTCTTACAGTTTTGCAAAAGCTACTTGAAATAGACAGCAAGAAAAGAAAGAACCACTATTTTACCCCGCTTTTATTATTTCAGAATCTTGTTTGTCCAGACATTGAATATGCAAAGGCTAGTCTATATATCTACCTCATCGGTAGTAGTTAAATACGTTTAACAACCGCCTAAAACTATGCACTACGCTTTAGCGGAAACGCGCGATACCCCATTTTTTACAACTCTTTTATCAACTTGCAATGTTGTGTGCCCAGACAGCTATAAAACCTTTGCTTTGCAAAGTTCCTATAAAGTCTAGACATCAACCTCGTCGGTTGAGAGGTAGATGTCGCCATACGCACTACGTATGCTACAGCGGAAATGGACGACACGCCATTTCCTTAAATGAAATTAATTGGTGCTCGTATGTATGTACATACATATGTATATGCATGTGTGTGCACCAATCTATTAATATCGTTGAATTATTTTAATATCTATTGCAAAAGTTTATACAGACAAAACTAAAAAGTAGAAAATAAATAAAATAAAAAAAACTGTTTAATATACAACGCTTTTATAAATGGACTAAAAAGTATAAAATAATATTTCTCAGTCCCATAGAATTTGTTCTGATAACTTTTCATTTTGAAATTTTAGCAAAAGTCATTATAAACAATTTATGAGATTGAAAATGAAAAGCGTGGGGCGCATGTAAGATACTTGAATTGATATGAAAAGTAATATATGAGTCAGAATTTCTGAAACGGGCCACTTCAATTATGTGATATTTTATTTCCAATCAGGAATGGTATTTTTTAATAGCTATTGACAATGCAAACAAATGTCTAACTTTGATTTTACAAAAAAAAATTTTCTTTTATATCGATAAGTGTTTTTTGTGGCCTTTTTACTTGAAAATTCAATTACAGACGATCTAATAGACCGATTTGACAATTCAACCGTCATTTTCATTGTTATTAAAAACTCTTCGAGGGCATAGGTTTTATTTATTTAAAAATAATTTTTAAGGGTACATGTTTATAAAATTTTTGGTAAAAATACCAAAATAATAATCTTCACCACTTTTTCACACAGGAAAAAAACACATATGGGCATTCCCATGGTGGCGCACGTGACAGTCGTACGATTTCAATGTGATACAAAAAAGGAATACCATTTGTTTTCTTTAACTTTTTTGGGCCATTGTATAGCACGTAATTAGCTCTATATTTAACCGAAAAATTAAATCAATCGAACTGCTTGGTCCTGAAATAGAAGCATTTAAAGAGAGGTTCGTTACGTGACAAAAAATGGAAGTTGATTTTTTCTTTTCTTGCAAAATCGTAAAACTCTGCGAATTGTGGATGGCTATTTTGATGAAACTTATTTTAATATGATTTGGAGCAATTCTAGTTGTTTTTAGAGTTTTTTGAATTAATGCAAATTGTTTCAATTCTCTTTTACAACCCCAAGTGTGAAACGTGACG